TACACCCTGGACAGGTCACCAGTCCATCGCAGGGCAACACAGAGACAAACAACCATTTACACTCACACCTAAGGAGAATTTAGAGAAGCCAATTAACCTAACAGTCATGTTTTTGATCAGCGGGAGGAAGCCAGAGTACCCAGAGAGAACCGATGCATGCTCAGGGAGAACATGCAAACTCCATGAAGAAAGACCCAGGAATCAAATCCAAAACCTTCTTGCTGCGAAACAGCAGTGCTACCCACTGCACCACTGAGCAGCCCAGGATTGAACTATTGAGCATTAATTCTAAGGTGTATGTGTGGAGAAAACAAGACACTGCTCATTCCCTCCCCAATACAATCCCAACAGTGAAACAGATGGTGGCAGCAGCATGCTATGGGGGTGGTTTTCAGCTGCAGGGACAGGACGACTGGTGGTAATTGAAGGAGAGATGAATGTGGCTAAATACAGAGGTATCATGGAAGAAAACCTCATCCAGAATGCTAAGGACCTCAGACTGAGCCAAAGGTCCGCCTTCCAACAAGACAATAACCCTAAGCATACAGCTAAAGTAACAATGGAGTGGCCTGGGAACAGCTCTTTGACCATTCTTGACTGAAAAAGGCCGGAGCCCTGACGAAAACCTAATTTAGCTTCTCAATGACAATGTGATATTTTAGTTTTTCTTTTTTCATAAATGTGCAAAAAAAAAATTATTTTTGTTTTTGTTTTTTTCTGTCGAGATGGGGTGCTGAGTGTACATTCATTAGAAATAAAATGAACTTTATTGGTTTTAGCAAATGGCTGCAATGAAACAAAGGGGGAAAAATTTAAAGGGGTCTGAATACTTTCCGTACCCACTCTACATCCATCCAAGTTTATTCATTTAACTTCAGTTTACAACAGGTTCTCATCTCAAGCCACTTGATCTGGGTTTCTGCAGGTTTCATCAACTTAAATTTAGGAATTTTTAAGTAGCAATCAAAATCTGCGAATATAGGTGATTATCAGTTGTCATGCTGAAACATAACTTGTGGTTTCCCCTAGGGGTCAGTATTGGGACTGATGCGTTTTATTCTATAATTAAATTACATTCTAGTTTCACAAGTATTCAAGTTTGTTTAGTTTGCACAGGCACAAATATGTTCTTAACAAGGGAGAACTAAAAAACTGGTTTGACAAAAAACAACAATAAGGTCTACATGTTGTCCTTCAACCTGCAAAACACTAAGTTAATATTCTGTGAACAATTTAAGAAATATAGATGTTTATAGGAAAATAGAAGGAGTATAGGTGGAATGAGTAAAGAAAATGTGATCATTGCATGAGTATTTATGTGATAATTCTTAGTGAAGCAAAACATTGTCTGAACTACAGAGCATTACACATTATTTACCATTCATTGATGTTATAGTTTGGCTACTTTCTTGAAGTCTGGGTAACACCTACCAGACATCACTGAAACCGCTTTGCACGCTGCAGAAAAGAGCCGTCAGGATAATTCATAAAGTTGAAAATCAAGACCACACTTAGCCATAAGTCATTTATTGCCGCTGTTGAAGTTTTCTGAGCTGCTAGAGTTTCAAACCTCAAAATGAATGTATAAAGCTAGAAATAAACAGCTAACAGACAGCATACAAAGATCATTTGTTGAGAAAGTGAGGGTGAAATTAGAGATATTAATAAATTTCCAGACCTTTCATTTATGAACAAACGTGACAAGAATAAGCATATCATTAAATTATGTGAACGTCTTGAAAAAACTGTATTTAATTAAAACAACGTCCAATCCTGAGGACATTTAGGTAAAAACTCAAATTAGTTTTCTTGAAAATATGTGAGATGGAAGAAGGGTGGTGAACATTATTGGTTTGCTTAATCACTATAGAGGGGTTCATACATATTTTTTTCAATGGCGGTAATTGTTTGGACAATGGGCAATAATTATATGAATGAAGATGTTTGTTGGCACCAGTGAATTTACATATGTTCATATGTACATAAAGGTGCAGACCAGGAAGCAGAGTCATAGTTTAACACACCTTCTCTACTGTTACCCACCCATGACTTCATCCAGATAGCGTCTTCCCCACAACCAAAACCACATAAATTAGAAAAAACATCCTCAAGGAGTCAATAATGATGATCTAATTAGAACTGATCTAAACAGAACCAGCTCTCACCTGCTCAGGTCGGCACCTGGTCTTTGAACCTGTAAATGAAACAAAATATGTTGAGATATTTCATGGATCTTCAGGTAAAATAAATGCAGCATTTATCAGAGTTCCTCTCAGCACTGCTGTGTCTCTGTCAGTCAGGATGAACTCCGACCCACAGTGACCCATTAGAACATGAAGCTGATAAATAGCATTCTCTGTTTCCTGTTGCAGGGAGAACAACCTGGAGCTTAACGCTCTAAAAACAGTGGAGATGATTGTGGACTCCAGGAAGAACTCAGCCCCAGTTATCTCCATCAGCCTCTGTGACTTAACAATTGACACAGTGGAGTCAGTGGAGGGAACTATCATCTCAAAGAACCTAAAGTGGAAGCAAATAAAGCCCAGCAGAGGATGTACTTCTTGCGGCAGCTGAATAAATTCCACCTGCCAAGGAGAATGATGGTGCACTTCACTTCTACGCCTCCATCACCTCCTCCATCACCATCTGGTATGCTGGTGCCACTGCCAACTGAGACTGCAGCGTGTCATCCGGTCTGCAGAGAAGGTGAATGGCTGAAATCTTCCATCTCTCCAGCATCTGTATGCCTCCAGGACTCTGAGGCGTGCAGGGAAGACTGTGGCTGATCCTTCGCACCCCAGCCACAAACTATTTCAGACACTTCCCTCTGGCAGGAGGCTGAGGTCCATCAGGACAAAAACCTTACGCCACAAGAACAGTTTCTTCCCATCCGCTTCCAGCCTTATCAACAAGGACCAGAGATCATGTGACACTGACACAGCCTCTCTCCCTCTCAGGACCTACAAGCTACACCAACATTGCATCTCCAGACTTCCTGCATTACTTAACGCACTACTGTCTACTGTGTACATATATATAGCTATGTACTACTATATATTATATATTGTATGTTTTATATTGTATATGGCTATAGATTCTGTATATATATTTTTTTTTTTTNCCTTCTCTACTGTTACCCACCCATGACTTCATCCAGATAGCGTCTTCCCCACAACCAAAACCACATAAATTAGAAAAAACATCCTCAAGGAGTCAATAATGATGATCTAATTAGAACTGATCTAAACAGAACCAGCTCTCACCTGCTCAGGTCGGCACCTGGTCTTTGAACCTGTAAATGAAACAAAATATGTTGAGATATTTCATGGATCTTCAGGTAAAATAAATGCAGCATTTATCAGAGTTCCTCTCAGCACTGCTGTGTCTCTGTCAGTCAGGATGAACTCCGACCCACAGTGACCCATTAGAACATGAAGCTGATAAATAGCATTCTCTGTTTCCTGTTGCAGGGAGAACAACCTGGAGCTTAACGCTCTAAAAACAGTGGAGATGATTGTGGACTCCAGGAAGAACTCAGCCCCAGTTATCTCCATCAGCCTCTGTGACTTAACAATTGACACAGTGGAGTCAGTGGAGGGAACTATCATCTCAAAGAACCTAAAGTGGAAGCAAATAAAGCCCAGCAGAGGATGTACTTCTTGCGGCAGCTGAATAAATTCCACCTGCCAAGGAGAATGATGGTGCACTTCACTTCTACGCCTCCATCACCTCCTCCATCACCATCTGGTATGCTGGTGCCACTGCCAACTGAGACTGCAGCGTGTCATCCGGTCTGCAGAGAAGGTGAATGGCTGAAATCTTCCATCTCTCCAGCATCTGTACGCCTCCAGGACTCTGAGGCGTGCAGGGAAGACTGTGGCTGATCCTTCGCACCCCAGCCACAAACTATTTCAGACACTTCCCTCTGGCAGGAGGCTGAGGTCCATCAGGACAAAAACCTTACGCCACAAGAACAGTTTCTTCCCATCCGCTTCCAGCCTTATCAACAAGGACCAGAGATCATGTGACACTGACACAGCCTCTCTCCCTCTCAGGACCTACAAGCTACACCAACATTGCATCTCCAGACTTCCTGCATTACTTAACGCACTACTGTCTACTGTGTACATATATATAGCTATGTACTACTATATATTATATATTGTATGTTTTATATTGTATATGGCTATAGATTCTGTATATATATTTTTTTTTTTTTCTGCACCATAAACACCAAGTCAAATTCCTTCCAGTGCAAACCTACATGGCAATAAACTTGATTCGGGTTCTGGTTCTCTTCCTGTTATCTGTGCAGTTCCAGAGATGTTCTCTTCACTAAGCTCATAACATCAACAGAACCTTCCCCAGTGACCCTGACCAAAGAATACAGCGTGGGGCACCACCACCATGCTGCCAGCAGGGGCATCAGGTGAGGTTCTGCTGAAGCGTTTTTTTTTTTTAGCAATAGTAGCGTGTTACCATGAAGGTGTTGCTGAGGACCAGAACGTTCAACCATGATAGAGAATAAAACCTGAGATCACACGTCACACTGAAGCTACTAAATACAAATAGTTTTAGTGAAAAATCACCGACTGACCAACATGAAGGATGGAGGATCTAAACCTGATCATGAAGCTCAGCTGGTGTAAAAAACACCATCAACAAATTCTGACACAGACCCAGAAACCTCCACCAACCATGGATCTTCTCATTGTTCCTCTCAGAACAAGGAAGTCAGGAGTTAATAGAAACATTTCAACCAACAAGGTGACATGTTTTCTAAGCCATAGAAAGGCTGTTGCTGGGCTACTCTATAAAGCCTGAAGGTCTACACTACTCCAGACATTTTGAATTGAGAAAGCTCTCTGGGTGGGAGGCGAAATGTCTTCAAACTTGGAAAACAAAGTCCAGTGGTTTGTTTTTAACATTCTTTTGGAATGACTATGACGTGGATTGAGAATCTTCACCACCAACATGGTAAATTATCAGCCCTGACCATGATACACCCTACAGCTCCATCAACTGATCACTCACCTTCTGCCTGGTTTTCTTCATTCTTTCCCAGTTTGTCCACAAATGGACGCAGCAGGTTCTGGACACCAGGGTCGTTCCTTGGTATCTCCTTCATTGCTTCCTTGACCAAAGAGATGGATCCATCCATGCCAAACATCTGAATGAGCTTCTCAGGAAGCTCCTCCTTAAACTTGGCAGTGAGCCTTTTCTGTGCAGGACCTTGATTTTTCTCGTAGAATTCCACCATCTTCTTGTACTGAGACCTCTCCAGCTTCTCAAAGATCGCAGTCAAGGCTTTTTTCCATTTAGCTTCGGAGATGTTTGCCATCTCTGTTGCTGAGGAAAAAGAAACCTTTTAATAAAATGAACAGATTGAGATAATTTCTTCAACTAAGGAAATAATCTGCTTTCCATTCTGACTGCAGCAGAACAATCTGAGGGATTATTCTACTGGACCTAAAAGTTCACACCCTGATGAGATATTCTAGATGATATGATGGAACCAGGAACCATAAAAGGCTGCTGGTTTTCTTTCCACCCAAGCAGTAGCACACCAGACTTCATTCATCTCATCAAGGGGAGTCTAGTCTTAA